AATCTCCAGGGCTTAGCCCAGTGTGGCAGTCACTATCTCATCGAAGGTCTTCCTCTCTTTCACAGATCCTCTACTTTTCCAAGTATGATGTCCTTTATCAAGGACTTTTCAAGCACTGTGGTTGCACTTCTTCCAAGACAGATTTGTTTGTTCTTTTGGCAGTTCACAAGATATATAATATTCTTCACCGACACCACAACACAAAGGCATCAACTCTTCTTCAGTCTTTCTTATTCATTAAAATGCCAGGGTCCTATATTTCAATAAATGATATAGAAAAGGTGATTCATAGCATCCTCTCCAAATTTGTAATAAGAAAAGGTTTTTATAGGTAGTGATGAGGCTGCAGAAAGACTTCATGTTTAAGAGGAATGGGCTGAAAGTATGAGATGAACCACACTGTGGCTAAGTATAATACAAATAATTTAGGGGAAAAAACCCAACATTATTTATAAAACACAGGACTAATATATACCAATAAGCATTCAGAGATGTTATATAAAAATAAAAATCTTATTTGCTGTAGACAGCAAAAACTAATGATATAACAATTTATGTTTCAACTGTGACACTCAAGAAAGATAAAATGGTTAAGAAAAGAAAGTTAAACAAAGATTTGTGAAAATGGTATCAGAAGGTTAGAATAAAATAGGATGACGACTAGTGAAATAGCACCTGAATAAAATCATGAAGATTACTACTACAATGATGACTTACAGTTATGACGATAACTTTCTAAGAATGATACAGACATATCCATTCATTTAATCCTCTCAACACATTCCCTAGTTAAGTACTGTTGTTAGCCACATTTTACAAATAAGAAATGAGAACCCAGTGATCAAGTAACCTATCCAAAAGTCACAGGAAGCAAGTAGGCAGAGTGCAGGTCTGAACTCCAGCTTGAGTTGTCAGCTGCTAAGCCTGTCTGTGTCTTAAGACACTGGCCCTGCAAGTTTCAAGAATATTTAATATGCAGTTGGGCATCAAATGTCCCAATCTTAGTATTAAGGAAGACTTCCTGAAGCTATTTAAGAAGGAAGTATAACCTACAAAGTAAGTTATATAATGGGCTAAAAATAGTGATAGTTTCAAGAAAAGTGGGTAACTAAGGTTGTTAAGGTAAGCATAGCTAGACAAAGGTTGGAAATAATTAAAATGGATTCTTTTTTTTTTTTTTTTAGTTTGAAATTATATAGTCCTCACTGCTATAATCAGAAGTGATTTTTTACACATATCAAAAGGATATACTTTTTACTGATGTAATTTGTAAAAAATATGAAAATGTGTATTATAAGTCTCCAGTTATAAATGTCACCTTTGAGATGATTCAAGAACATGAGTGAAATGTCCACAAGTCCATTTTATATAACACTTATACAACTACTTTTCATTTTCCATTTCAGAAAACCTGCAGACTAATTAATGTTATTTCTAAATCAGGTGAATAAATAGTAACCTGATGGTAAGCAGAGCTCAGACTCAAGCTAGAACTCATTAGCACAAAACTGAAAATCAACAATGCCTTTAATAGGGAACACTGGTGGACTAGTGGCAAGAAGCTGCACTGCAATTCCAGAGTTGCGCAGTTAGAATCTATAAGATGCTCAACTGGAGAAGGCGGGACAATCTCCTCCTGTACCAGTCAGACCCAATTTGATGGTATAACACACACAAAAAAGAATTTTTTTTTTTAAAAAAAGCCAAACAAAAAAACAATGCCTATAATAAGCTTAGAACCAACTAACTTAAGTTTCTATTTAAACTTATTTAAAAAAATTAAGTTACAGGGGTTTGTGCGGGGAGAAGGGTGCAACAATGAATGAATGGAATTCCAAAATCTCTGTAGATGTTCATTGAAATGAAAAATAAACAAACTAAATTAAAAAAAAAATTTAGTTAAGACTTTGTACTTTAACACAATTAACTTGATACATGCAAAATATCAGAACCCTATGAAGCACACAACACGTTTAGATACATCATGGTTTTGTTTTTTTAAATAATGACCAAGGCAGATCAAGTATCTCTAAGTGAAAAGAGAATGTACGTTAAGAAGAAAGGAAAGTTCCTAGGCAAAAATTTTAAAGTTTAAAAAAAAAGGTTAAAAAGAGCAGATGAAAAAACTTCCTAAACTCGACAGAAAATAGACTAGTATTATCACGAATTTCAGTACAAAGGTATAGTTACTTTCTGGTATTTTAGAAAGTAATTAACGTACAATATGAATCAGAGGTTTAAAATAAATGGAGGCAACTTTTACTAAGTACAAGGAGCACATTACATAATCAGTGGTCATGTAAATAGGCTTTCAAATCTCTTCAAATTGTAACCAAAGACATTCTGATTTTAGAACACTTAAAACTTGAGCCTGCCTATGCTTGTAGCTACTAAGATCTCAAGTGGAGTTTTGATAATATTTAAAATTCAAGAAGATATAAATGAACAAACAAAAGAAAAACCCAAACCAATTACCAGCAAGTAAATTCTGACCCACAAAAACCTAAAAACAGTGTAGAACTGCCTGGTTGGGCCAAGGTGATAATCTTAAGAAAACAGGTATTCTTTTTCAAGTAAAGAGGCTGGTGTTTCCAAACAACTGATGTTCTGTTAGCAGCCAACAGCTTAACTATTGCACTACCAGGGCTCCTTCCTAGTATAAAAAGTAAACTTCTAACTGGGAGGAGGAGAAAAGTGTAAGATGCCTTCCAGCCAAGTAAGTAAGTAGGTTTCCATGTAACAAATCAATGTTCCTATTTTATGATAAAACATCTATCTTTATATAAAGCTATTCATTAGCAAAGAATCCTGAAGGCACTTAAACAAATTATTTTTTTTAAAAAGTAATACAATTTTAAAAAAACAGCACCACTACTATCAAGTTGGAACCAACTCCTAGCTAACGCTCCATGGGTTTTCAGAGGTAGCAAATTTTATGGGAGATTCCCTACTCCCTTAATCACCGAAAGTTCCTAAATACCCAATAGGTTGTTGTTGTTGTGTATCATAAAGTGAGAACCAACCTACAGCTGACCCTCCGTTGATTTTTCAGAGGCAGTTAACAGCATAGGAGAAGACTGCTCATCCTTCTCCCGTGGAGCAGCTGGTAACTTCAAACTGTGTGCCTCGGAGATTGCGAGGCAGCTTCTTGCTACAGGCCACCAAGATCCTTAACAGTTTAGCACATTTATATTCAATGTAATAAAAAAAGAGTAACAAATGTAAAAAATTCATTTGTATGTGCATAAAATTATTTTACTTATTTTTAATGCCTACTATTAAAAGATGTTACTTTTACTGAAAGGAATTATAGTAATAGCTACATAGATATATAAATTATGTAAAAAAATAATGTAAATCTGGAACTTATTCTAAGGTCAATAAAAAGGGTTTTGCTAATTAGTTGAACTTTTGAATTCACAATTATTAATGTTAATAATAAATATTGTCATATGGCCAAGATGAGGCAGCATATAAAACAATGTCTAATAATCTAAACAAATACCAATGGAAGAAGCTTCAAAGAGGTAACTGTGAAATCTGTAGAGAATCCTGAGGAATCTTAAGAGTCCTTATAACAAACATAAAAATTTTTGAAGAAATGATTATTAAATATAGCAGAATTTAAATTTAAAAACAAAGCTGAGCTATAAAAATTACATTAAATAAAAAACTGAGGATTATTATTGTTGACAAAAGGACAGAGTTAATGCTGAAACCTTCACTTTAAGTGACAGTTAAATATAACTGCAATTCTGGAAGAAAACTTTAGACACTTGTTTCAGGAACATGAAATGTAACTATGGTTTCCAAAAAACCAGGTTTTTTTGTTCCTTAGACTACATTTGTGCTAGAAGAACATTAAGGTCAGCATCTAAGATAGTTACACTTCAACTTGGGTGTTAAGCTGTGGATTTGATGGCCTTCTGTGGGGCAAAATGGCCCAGAAACTTCAGCTCAAGAGCCAAAGCTGTGTTCAATTTAGTAGGCCTTAAGGCTTTTGCTGGTGATTTAGTGCATTAAGTGGGGTACTGCTAAATGAAATATCAGCAGTTTGAATCCACTAACATCCCTTAGGAGGAGAAGAGACAGTCTACTTCTATAAAGATACACCCCCTTAGCAAAATAACAGAGGGTTTGCCATTAATTGGAACTGATTCAACGGCAAGAAGTTTGGTGGGTTTTTTTTTATTTTAGAGACAATGTCTGGCCAAATTAGCATCAGCTTTATCAAAGGCCAGTCATATAGAAAGGGAGTCTCCCTAGGATCTGATTCCTTGAGGACACAATTTAGAACAGGTCTCACAGTCAAATTATTCAGATTCTTTGTTAAGAGAGAACAGGCATCAGTTGTGTCCGTCGAAGGGGGACACTGTCTGGGTGTACCCTGGACATGTTTTGAAATCTCTGGGCTGCTTCTGCATCTGGAAAAAAAAAAACAGCACAATGACAGACAACAAATGAGGGAAAGAAAAGACACTTAAGACACATAAGAAATTATGAAAGTGGACAAAACAGACAAAAAGACACACAACCATATCATTTGGACTATGCAAGTCTGAAGACAAACAGCACAGGAGAACAGACATTATCTTAAGTACAGCAAGGAAAGACTATAGCAATAAAAGGTATTTTTGAGGAATGTCAACTAGAATTGAAAAAAAGTATGTTAAGATATGTCAACCTGACACAAAGATAAGGTAAGGTGGGATAATAATCTAGTCCCATTTGAAAGTTGGAAAGAGCTTAATAATGAGAGCTAGTGTCATGAACTTGGCTGCTTAACTGCCTTTGTGTAAGAAAATATCTCAGAACTTTGAAGTTAGGAAATTCCAACTTGTCTTGCACGAGGTCATGAATTCCATAGAGGCAGAAACCTTCAATAAGCAGCATAAATGAAAATAAATTTTATTAAAACTTTTTCAATAACAATACATTAAAAAAATCAATAGTGCTAAAATCTATCAAAGTAAAATGCACTGAATAAAAGTTAAACTTACTCAGAAAGATGTTCAGAAGTTGGGATACAAACAGAAACTGAAATTAGAAAAAAAGTTTTACATTTAAAACAGTTTAAGAATTGCAATTAAGAATAATAATTTAGTAATGAGCTCCTATTATGGCTGACCAAAACCATGGAATAAAAAGAAAAAAAATTCTAAAATAACATAATTACATGTACGTACCATTCTCCATTACAACCTGGCAAGTATGAGTTTCTTGTTGACATAAGTGTTTGGCCATATTATCTAAGCCAGAAACATCAGTTAGGAAATCACAATTAAGGCACACTATAGTAATGCCCCTATGGAAAAAAGCAAATAATATAAAAGGGTTTTATATGTTAAGATAATCCATACACACTTGCACTGATTATTTTTCTATGTAAGAACTCTTGATTTATCGTAACTGTTACTTTTCATTTTTAATATTAAAACAGATATAACAGAATAATTCTCTAGATAACAGCACTGCCATTTTAAAAGTATACAATCATTTATTTTCAATAAATATTTGTGCTTCATACACCTCTTACATTGTCTTGATTTCATTAACAATTTATATAATTAGGATGAGTCACAATCCATCTTTACAACTGTCTGTCCACAAAACAAGAATATAGCATTCACTCATACAATATAGATTTACTCAAAGTGATCTTTACACATTACTAATTATTGTAGATAGAATGGTGACCAAAAAGGTAGGCTAGACTTTGATAGTGTTTACAAGCTTGTACCTAATTTAGGCAAAGATAAAACTAGAAAAAAATTATGAAGTCATAAAAATAGATCACAGAATTATTATTATAACTTTATTAACTATTTTTATTTTTTGTTCATCCCATACTTTATTTTACATGGATAAGATTACAAACAAGTAGTATATCTTAAAACAAATTTCTCACCTAAAACACTAGGTTACTAACAAACTGTATATTTACAACTAGATGTACCATTTGGCCCTTAAAAGTAACCTTTATAAAGCTAGAATCATGTCTTTCTCCCAAATCAACCTCTCCTAACTGTAATTCCTAATTTATTAAACAATTTATAACATTTTAATGTCTTATTGTAACATTAACGATCAAACATTATTACTTCTGAACTTCTGCTTCCTTAATAAATGCAATATAACAATATAGTATTATAATTTCTTAATAATTAACAATTTACTGAGTATTACTCTGTGCCAACAAATGGATAAAATGCATCATGTCATCTAAATCTTGTAATAACACAAAGAGATATATGTTATCCTGACCACCTTTTTAGAGAGAGCTGAGTTAATTTGGTAATCTACCAAAAGCATAGTTTTTAAGAATAGGAGGGTCTGAAATTGAGAACTTTTCCCAGATCCCATGGTCTTAGGTGGAACAGAAGCTTCATGTAATGTAGCAGTAAAATTGAAGGCTGGCAAGACTGTCTCAAACTTTAACCCAAGTTTTGAAATCCTTGAAAGTAAGGCTAAGGTACGTGGTAACAAAAAGGTCACTAAAGAATCATGGATGCTTTGTGTAGAATCAAGGGATAACTGAAGGGAGACAGATTTGAAGAATATACAAGGTGAGTATAGATGCATGAATCATATAGATTAGTTAGAACTAGAATGCTCTGATGGTGTAGTCTATAATTTGTTGGACTGTTAACCCAAAGACTGCTTGTCTCAGGTGGCTGGAATTCACCAGTGGCTCCACAGGATAAGATGAACAGTCTCTTCTCATTGTGATTTACAGCTTGAGAAAATGAAGTAACCTTCAAATTACCACATATCTTAGCCTTACTTCCAAGGCTTTCAAAACCTGGCTTAAAGTTTAAAACAAACTTGCCTTCAGTTAGGTTAGTTTTGTTCTCAAATCAGAAGAAGGGAAAAAAAAAAGGTAAAGTCTCATTTTTACAATGTAGTAAAACTGTTCCTATATTTTCAGCAGAAATAAAAAAGGAAGATATAGAGTCCTGAGGAAGAAATATTAGTGAGAACATACAATTTTAAATGGCCCAGTAAATCAAAACCTCATACAGAGTAAAGATCTGTTGAGGGAGTTAGCCATGTAAATAACAGACAAAAGTCATACTTGGTGGGAATAATAATTTCAAAGTCTTCAGACATAACATTACTTTTGCCCTAACTCATCAAAAACAAGTATGGGCCAAACTTTTATCAATGTCTTAACAAAGACAGTGATGTTAAGTAGCAATGCCAACATGTGCAAAGTGAATAAAAAGGTATGAACAAAAAGAACTAAGAATATGAAAAGATGGTATTTAATAGATTAGTTAAATGTGTGACAAGACTAAAATTAATTATCAATGCTTTTATTAATATTTATCAAGAGGGGTCTTTTTTGTCTACAGTAAACAAATTCTGCACTTCAAATAGGAAGAAAAACTCAAGTAAAGAGGCAAGGATGATATATATGGATTTTTGGTGGCTTAATCATGAATTGGGCTGCCAACTCAAAGGCCTGTGCTGTGAATCCACCAGCCCCTCTTCAGGAGAAGGATCGGCCATCTCCTCCCATGCAATTAACTGCCTCTAAAAACACACTGAAGGGTCAGTTAGAAGTAAATTCCGACTCAACAGTACACAACAACAACAGTTTAAGATATTCCTTCCAAGGTAAGAAGTGTTAATTATTAGTTATCTTAAAATATCTTTCTAAAAAATTACTCTTTTTGTGTAAATTTACAGAGGAATTTGCTTCTCCATTCAATAATTTCTAGTTTTTTTTCTGTGGCATCAGTTATAGTCCCCACATTGTAGCAGCACTCTCCTGCTGCTTCTCATCATTCCTATTTCTAGTTCTCCTTTTATTCTATCCTTTCCTGCCTTCTGAACTTTATCTGGGACAAATACTGGCCTTTTGATCTCATATGATTGATTATTCTAAGGTGTAAGTACATAACTGGGTTATAGTTCCATTTCTTAAAGCATTTTTATTGTTTGGTGGACTAGTAGCTAAGGAATTTCACCACTAATTGCAAAGGCAGGTGTCTCAAATCCACCAGCAGTGCCACGGAAGAGAAACAGGAAATCTCCTCCTGTTCACTTTACAGTCTCTGCAAACCACTGGAGGCTCAGCTATGAGTTGGTTTCAACTTGATGTCATATAACATGCACAACAAACATACTTTTTGACTGAAAGCTGAGCCACCTAAGATCAGGGGTTCCAGCAGTCTTATTAGACCAGAAAGCCTGGTGATTCTGTAATATTGAGTTTTATTTCACATTTTTCTCTCACTCTACCCAGGGTCCTAGGTGGGATTTCTTTGAGTGGTCAACAGATAACAAAATATCTTCTATTTTGTGAATGAAACCACCAAAACAAAGTTTAGAACGTTTTGTGGATGAAACCACCCAAACAAAGTTTATTATGTCTAGTAGGCGCATTGCCATGGGAAAGTCTGCTGTTAGGGACCTCTCCAAAGTACTGAAGAGCAATGGTGTCTCTCTGGAGACTAAGGTGCATCTGATACAGGCCATGGTCTTCGCAATCACTTGTTATGCATCAGAGAGTTGGACAATGACCAAGGAGGATAGAAGGAGAATTGATGCCTTTGAACTGTGGTGCTGGAGAAGAGTATTGAGAATACTATGGACTGCTAGGAAAACAAACAGATTTGTCCTGGAAAGGGTTAAACCTGGTGGCTCCTTGGAGGCAAGGATTCTGAGGCTCTGTCTAACATACTTTGGACATGTTGTGAGGAGGGACAGGTCCCTGGAGAGGGATATCATGCTTGGGAGGGTGGAGGGACAGCGCAGGAGAGGAAGGCCCTCTATGTGGTGGATTGATTCAATGACTGGGATAATTGGGATGGGATTGTCAGAGACAGGGCGACTGGCACAGGACAGAGCAGAGTTTAGGGCTATTGTACAGGGTCACTATGAGTCGCTTGAAGGCACATAACAACAACAACAGTGGTTCTTGGTGTGTGCCATTGACTCAGAAATGACTCACAGCTCATCCTCTAGTGGATTCTCAAAGGAGGTAAATCACATGGGAGGAGACTGCCCCAACCAGCTGAGGGATTCAAACCTCATGCCTTTGGGATCGCAGCATAGTTTCTTACAACTAGATCACCAGAGCTCCCTATGTCTAGCAGCAATCATATACATTTCTCTGACATAAAGTTAAAAAAAATAGTTCTAATAAGCAATAAGGAGAGATAATTTCAAAAAGAGACAATGACAGTGCTAGCAAAGATTTGTTAGCAATGAGAACCTTCATATACCACTGGCAGGAATTTAAAATAGTGGAGCTACTCTGGAAATAGCCTGGCAGTTTCTTGTAAGGTCAAATACAGAATTACCATATAATGTCACAATTCCAATTATAGTTATATATGTAACACATATTCACATAAAACCTTGTACATATATACTTAGCAACATTGTTTATAACACTTGCAGCGGAAACAACCTAAATGTCAATTAATTGATGAACAGGAAAGAAAATACAGTAGAGGCACAGAACAGAAAACTGTGGGCAGGAAAATGAAGTCTTAATACATGGTGCCACATGGATAAACCATGCTAAGTGAATAAAGCCATCATGGACTATCTTACATTGTATAAGTCCAATTACATAAAATGTCCAGAATAGACAAATTTGTTGAGATAAAAAGTTTTTTAGATGTTCAGAGATGGTACTTTGGAGGGAAAGTGGAAATAAGTACTGATGGAGACTGAATTTATTTCTGAAATAATAAAAATACTCTAAAATGAAATTATGTGAATACGGTACAAGTTGTTTATTAATGCAAAACGTCATAGTATGGTATCTTTTTAAACCTACAACAATTTTCAGTAAGAACAATTAAAGAAGATAAACTAGTTACCTGAGATTTTCAGAATGCTGCTCAAAAATACAAAATCTTTTACTTGGACGATTACTATGGAAGCTGAAGAGACAAAAGAGATTTTATTCTATAGTAAGCCACATTAAGCCTATGCATAAATTTCATAATTTTTAATAAAAGACTTTATTTAAATAATAAAATTTTATCTGCAATACTGTTTAACTCAAGATTTTCACTTATATTGCATTTCACCTGTTTCATTTTCTAAAACTGTATCTTTTTCTAGGCATACTCTTAAGACTATTAACACCCTTCCATACTGTGTATTCAATATTCTGCCCATAGCATCCTTAAGCATTACAACTCATGGCTTGAATTTCTTTAGTTCTTTCAGTTTAAGAAATGCTGAGCAATTTCAGCCATTTTGATTTTCTGACTTCAGCTTCTTGCACATTTCATGATTATATTTTTGCCTTGTCTTCCCAAGCAACCCTTTGAAATCTTCTATTCAGCTCAATTTCTTGATGTCTTCCCTTTGTTTTGGCTTCTAGGCGCTCTAGTGCAATATTCAGAGTCTCTTCTAACATCTATTTTGGTCTTTTCTTCTTCTTCCTTCTTAGTAATGACTTTTTGCATTCTACATGAACAATATTCTTGCTATCTTCCCACAGCTTATCTGGTCTTTGTTCATTAGTGCTCTAGGCCTCAAATCTATTCCTGAGTTGATTTTAAAATTCATGGGAGATAGACTCAAGGTCAAATTTTGATTCCTGTGGATATGATTTAACCTTCTTTAGTCTTAATTTGAACTTGCATATAAGCATTTGACATTCTGTTTCACAATCAGCAAGCACCTGGCCTAGTTTTTACTGCTGATATTATTGAACTTCTCCAATGGTTCCTTTCACAGATGTAATCAATCTGATTCCTGTGCATCGCACCACGTGAAATCCATGTGTATAGCCTGAGTTTATGTTTTTATAAAAGGTATTTGCTATGAATAAATGATTGTACAGAAACCTACCATTCTATCCGTAGCCTCTTTTCTGTCACCTAGACCATATTTTTTGACTACTGATCCTTCTTCCTAATTCTCAACTTTTGCATTCCAGGATGCATGCCTGAGGATGCTATGGGCAGAATATGGAATGATTCAAGCAACATTAAAAGCAGATGGAAGGAGTACATGGAGTCATTGCATCAAAAAGAACTGGCTGACACAGAAGGATTTCAAGAGACAATATATAAGCAAGAGGATGAAGGAGGAAGTGCAGGCTGCTCTGAAGAACTCCGCAAAAAAATAAAGCCTTAGGAACTGATGGAAAACCAATGGACATATTTCAGCAAACAGATGCTGCTCTGCATATGCTCACCAGGTTGCATTAAGAAATCTGGAGGACAATTACTTGGCCAACTGACTTGAAGAGATCCATATTTATTCTCATT